TATATTTGAATAGTTGTGAGACGATTGAAATTCAAAAGAAAAAAAGCCCCGAACAGATTATTTTGATTATAATATAAGCCCCCCCCCCCAATGGCACAGCGGTATGTCTGCGGACTTACAACGCTAGAAACCGGGTTTCGATACTCGTGGTGGGCAAGGCCCTTGTGTAGCTTTGTGCATAATTAAAAACAAACAAACACTATAATATAAAGAAGGAATATTAAACGTTTTGAATGGCTAACGAAAAGTGTATTTGCATGTTTTTTGTTTTTTTTATATAGTGAAAATATTTTTTATTTATTGAAAACATCATACATCGAAATAACTCAAAAAATGACTTCTGAATATTGTGATGTTTGTATAAAGCCTCTGCCTGTCGATGGAGACTACGTAAAATGTTATGTAATTTGTAAGGGTTCACTTCATTAACAATGTAGTCGATTGTCAGAGACGACATACAGAAGTATTGTCTAATGCCAAAATAATTGTCATACCGCTGTTACCGCTGTCAAGATACCAGTAAACGATCGGAAAATTCTGGTTTATTCAATGATGGAAAATATAATTTGACAGCAAGCAACAACAGAAATCTAGTAAATGAAAGTGTTACTGAAACAATGAATTCATTAAAATCTACTGATATTGGAGATCAAGAGAAGATCCTAAAAACTCGGGGAAATATGGATATTACTGAACATGATTCACAGAATCCAATGGTACCTACTATGCTCCAAAATATAAACAAAAAATCAAACATGTATGATGAAATAAAGATGGATGTAAATGAAATCAAAGATTCCATAAACTTTTTATCAGCAAATATCCTTAATACAAAGCAAACATGCAGAAGATATCAAGATATTGAAAAATGATGTGAAAACTTTGAAGTCTAATAATATTCAAACAGTGATTCAACTTCTAAATTATTAATTCAAGTTAATGATCTGGAACAGCATGAATGAAGAAGCAATATAGAGATACATGGAATAATACAACCAGATAATGAGGAAAAGAAAAATATTCTACACAAAGTGGTTGAAGAGTTCAGTATACCTGATTATAAAAAAGATGAAATATTAATGACTTATAGAATACCTGTTCATAATAGTAAAACGAAAGCGCCTATAGTAGTTAAATTTAAAACTGTTTTGGATAAAGCAAAATGGTTGAAGAATAAGAAGAAAATGGTTAAACAAAATCAAAACCAAAAGAATATGAGTGAAGGCAATGTTTATACAAATGAAAATCTAACAGCTGCTAATAAAGAGCTG